AAAAAAAAAAAAAAAAAAAAAAAAAAAAATCTGGGCTAAAGTCTTCAATATGTTTGCATGGGAATAGAAATGATGCCATTTGAACTTTTTGGCGTAAAATGAAGCCCGGGAAATGTGGACTCCACTGCTGTGGCTTTTGTTGCCTAAGCAGTGGTTTTCTTTACCCAGCTACCTAATCCTTTCTTCCAGTGTGGGTGGTGCTATTGGGAAGTGAGGGACTCCTGACCTTTGACACTTCATCGTGTAATCTTCTGGGATCATTGGTATTGGTCACAAGTCCAGTGCTCTAGCCCTTGGAATACATTGTTAGAATGTTGAAGACTAAATTTGCTTTATCTTGTAGTCTGCTAAAAGTTGTGCACTGAACAACTTCATCCTGGCCCTGCGGTTTCTCCTGACACTTTGTGGTATTTGCTTTGTAGGTGTTGACTGCGACATTGACGTGCCCAAAACCATTCAGATGGTGCGGTCTCAGAGGTCAGGGATGGTCCAGACAGAAGCACAGTACCGATTTATCTACATGGCTGTCCAGCATTATATTGAAACACTACAGCGCAGGATTGAAGAAGAGCAGGTACCAAGCCTGGGGAGCTGGCTTGCAGATTTTCATTTTCTTGTGGGTGGATTGGATAGGTTCTCCTTTTGAGCAGGAGGACAGGCTCTGATTGACAACTGTCTTTATATGGGGATGCCTTTTAGTTCCCATCTAAAAGGGCCTCTCTGGAAACTAATTATTCCCCCCTTCACGGCTCTGATTTTTCAGTCCAGAGGAGCTCAGGGAGGGGCATCATGCTATCATCCTGGCCTGACAGATTGAGAAACTGCTGTGCAGAAAGGTTATGATTTTCCCAGGCTCACATGGCCAGCTTAAAACTCAAAGACTTGAAGTTTCCAGACTGTTCCAGCTTTGATCTGGGCCGTGTTTTTCCTGATTCTATCTCTTTATACAGATGCCTCACTCTTAATAGCGCATGGCAGTTTGAGCCACTAATTTGGTAGTGTTGGAAACAGTGAAAGTTCAATTTTAATAAGCTGTGCATAATGAAGAAAAATGTGGGACTGGAGCCTTTCCATTTGAAGCAGTTCATCACAGACACAAAGCTGAGTTAATTAGGAATATGCTGAGATGAGGGAAATGAGAACTGCGCTTTTGTGGAGCTGTGCTTGTCTTCCCGACCCCCAACCCCATTGCTGTGCTGTGGATGGGGTAGTATCTAAATATCAGCAGCATTTGCCTGCTTAACCCTGTTTATAGCCTTGCAGAGAACTCAGCTTCTCAAAATGGGACCTGCCGCCTCATTGAAAGATTTCTAGCCTAGCAGAACAGCAGCCACATTATTAAAGTTTGGATAACCAAAGGAAGGTACCCAGTTAGTTTAGTAGGTTCTCACTCCACACAAAAACACGGGATTGTTTCATTGTATAAGAACATCTTCAGAAACAGTGTAAGTATAGAAATATAGGGGCAAATAATTAATAAAATACCAGTTTTGAACTTCAGTGTTTTAAATCTGAATTTGTATTAATTGCTATGAAATATTTAGGTGGTTACTATAAGTTATTTTGTGTATTTCTTCCATTATACTTAACTTGGACCAGGAATAGTTTAAGCAAAACGTTGCCCAAAGAGAGGGACTCCTAATAAATACAAAGAGAATGCAGCATAGTTGCTACAAGTTGAAAAACGTTCAGGAATATCTTGAGGCACATAGTGTAGCCTTGCTCAGAAAAGCTGGGGGAAAAGCTCTCTTTATTTCATTTAGAAACTTTGATTTTTAGCCTTGTTTTAGAGAATTTAGCACCCTTTTCCCCCAGTTTTTGTAGCACTTTCATTTTTTCATTACCATATGTTTTCTCTGACCCTAACTCTGAGGTTGTAAGTTGGATTTAGGAACTACTTTTAAAAAATCTTTATTGCTGTCTTTTTGTTGGAAGGGGTGGGGTGGGGGGAACAAGAGCAAAACATGCTCCTTTATAACTTAAGTGTTGCAGGGTATAGAATATAGAAAGTGAATGTCCCTCGTAACCCCACCCCAGGAACGCTTGCATTTGTTCATTCAGCCAGTACTTTTTTGGTGCTGATATGTGCCAGCACTGTGCTGATAAGTATCTTAACTACTATTTGGTATGGGGGCCTTTGGATTTTTAAAAATGTGTAGGCTTAGATTATGTATTTTTAAAAATGGGATCCTGTAACATGTAGATTTCTGCTCTGTACGGTTTGGGTCAGCGTAAGAACTTGATCGTGGTAAAGTGAGAAGTACTTTCATTTAATAGAAAGAAGGTTTAAGTGGCACACTTAAAAACGTTAAGCCCATGTGATTTTTAAATTAAGCAAAAGGACAAAACTCATTCAAAGATAATTATTTTGAAATATTGTATAGTCATTTGTAAAATTAAGAAGCATTGAGGACCTTTGGGAGTGAAAGAATTTGCTAAAGAGGGATAAACAACAAAAAAAGAAACGACAGTCTGGGTGGAGAGCTATGGGGAAGGAAGTAGACAAATAGATACAGTGCAAGGAAGAGAGAAATACAAAATCAGAGGTGAGAATTCAGGGGAAAGTACCAATGAGGCAAGATTGAGAAAATGCTCAAGTTTTTTATAAATGGTTCTTCTCACACTCTGACAGTTACTTGGAGGTAGAATTTTTTGGTAACTTCCATTTGCAGTAGTAAAAATGATTTTTTTTTTTCCTTTTTGTCTTTTTTTACTGACCGGCAACGGGATCACAACCCTTGGTGTTGTGCCCGCACCGCGCTCAGCCATTGAGCGGGAACCGGTCTCCACATGGGATCCGAACCCTCGGTGGGAGCGCCGCCGCACTCCCAAGCAGCGCACTCTCCAGTGCGCCACTGGGCCGGCCCGTAAAAATGATTTTTTTAAATTTACAGAAATAGTATATGGAAGTTTCTTTACCCAACTTTACTGACTTAACATTTTAACCACTTACTTTATCATTCATTTATTCTCTTTTTAAAATATATATATTTCTATAAATGTTTTATTTATTTATTTATTATTTTTTTAAAAGATGACTGGTAAGGGGATCTTAACCCCTGACTTGGTGTTGTCAGCATCACGCTCTCCCAAGTGAGCTAACCAGCCATCCCTATATAGGGATCCGAACGCGTGGCCTTGGTGTTATCAGCACCATACTCTCCAAAGTGAGCCATGGGCTGGCCCTTATTTCTATAAATGTTTTAAATGAAATATTTGTAAGTTGCAAGCATTTATGTTTCTTTGCTTCTAAATGCTCTGGTGTGTATTTCATAAAAATAAGAACATTCTCTTACATAACCATAGTACAGTTGTCAAAATCAGGAAATTAGCATTGATATGATACTATCTTCTAATCTACAGACCATATTCAAATTTTGCTAGTCTCGCCTACTAATATCCCTTATGTGGTCCAGAGTCACAGGGTACATTTAGTTGTCTCGTGTCTTCAGTCTCCTTTAATATGGAACAGTTTCTCAGTCATTCTTTATCTCTCATGACCTGGACATTTTTGAAGAGTTCAGGCCAGTTATTTGTTAGAATGCCCCTCAGTTTGGATTTGTCTGATGTTTTCTCTTGATTGGATTCAGATTATGCATTATTGATAAGACTATCATAGAAGTAATGTGTCTTTGGATCATTACTGGTGGTGTTAACTTTGATCACTGAATAAGGTGATGTCTGTCAGGTTTCTCCACTGTAAAGTTACTATTTTTCCCTTTTTAATTAGTATCTTGTAGGTAGATACTGCGACTGTGTAAATAACCTATTTCTCATCATATTTTTTACCTACTAATTTTACATTCATTGATAATTTTTGTCCAAAAAGATCATTACTGTGTTGCCAAATGGTGATTTTCTATCTCCAGCATTGCCTTGAAAGTATAACTGACAAATAAAAATTGTATATATTCGAGATGTACAACATGATATTTTGATATACCTACATGAGGCTACTTCAAAAAATTTGTGGAAAAATAGAATTGATGGTAGCAGGAGTGAGGGATACTTATCTTTGTCTATATGTATCTTTTACTGTACTTAAGAAATTAAAAATCAATCATTCTGAAAAAAAAAAAACAAACAGAATTGAAAGATAATATGAACCTTTCCATGAACATTTTTTTTTAATGAACTTTTTGAAGTACCCTCATGCTTTGTGAAATGATTGCCACAATCAAGTGAATTAATACATCCATCACCTCACATAGTTACATTTTTTGTCTTGCGAGAATGCTTAGGGTCTACTCATAGCAAGTTTCAGTTAATACACTATTATTAACTATAGTCCCATGCTATATATTAGGTCTGCAGAACTTATTCATTTTATAACTGCAAGTTTGTACCATTTGACCAACATCTCCCCATTTCTACCACCCTCCAACCCTGCTGTAATTCTATTTCTGTGAGTTCAACTTTTTTAGATTCCACATAGAAATGAGATCATGCAGTATTTGTCTTTCTGTGTCTGGCTTATTTTACTTAACATAATGTCCTCCAGATTCATCCATGTTGATGCAAATGGCAGGATTTTCTTCTTTTTTAAGGCTGAATAATATGCCATTGTGTGTATACAACTCATTTTCTTTATCCATTCATCCATCAATAACTTAGGTTATTTCCAAATCTTGGCTTTTGTGAGTAAATCTGCAATGAATATGGGAGCGCAGATATCTCTTCCAGGTACTGATTTTATTTCTTTTGGATATATACCCACTAGTGGGATTGTTGGATCATATGGTAGTTCTATTTTTAATATTTTTGAGGAACCTTCATGCTTTTTCCCATAATGGCTGTATCAGTTTACATTCCCACCAATAATGTATAAGGGTTTCCTTTTCTCCCACCCTTGCCAACACTAGTTATCTTTTGACTTTTTAATAATAATCATCCTAGTAGGTGTGGGGTGATATCTTATTGAGATTTTGATTTGCCTTTCCCTGATGATTAGTAATGTTTAGCACCTTTTCATATACCTGTTGGCCATTTGTATGTCTTCTCTGGAAAAATGTCTATTATAGGTCTTTTGCCCATTTTTAAATAAGATTATTTGATTTGTTTTTTATTGAGTTGTAGGAGTTCCTTATGTATTTTAGATATGAATCCTTTATTGGATATAAAGTTTGCAAATATTTTCTCCCATTCTGTGGGTTGCCTTTTCATTTCATTGATTGTTTCCTTTGCTCTGCAGAAACTTTTAGCTTGATGCAGCCCTGCTTGTTTATTTTTGCTTTTGTTGCTTGTGTTTTTGGTGTCAAGTCCAAAAAACCCTTGCCAAGACTAATGTCATGAGGCTTTTCCTGTATGTTTTCTTCCAGGAGTTGTATGATTTCAGAGCCAGTACGGAAGCCTTTTCATTTATTGATTGGAAGCCTACTAGAAGGAGGAGCTTTCCTTTCTCCCTTATTTATTTATTCATCTATATCAGAATGTATATCAGAATACATTACTATTATTTATTTTGTTGCTTAAAGTGTCCCAAATTTGGCTAGTGGGAACCATTTCAAGTTGATTCCTGTGTCTTTTGATTTGTTTCCCCTTTTGAGCACTTCCTTAGACTTTTTGACACCACAA